CACTCAGGAATCAGCTACAGGAGGATCTATGTGAGTTGGATGCCATCCTGGTCTACTTGGTGAGATAGACTTTGTTATGAAAAAAAGAAGAGGAGAAGGAAGAGTGGAGAAGAGAAGAGAGGAGTTGAAAAAGAAAGGAAGGGAGGGGAGGAGGAAAGGAGAGGAAAGAGAGAGGGAGGAGAGGGAGAGGGAGAGGAGAAGCAGTAAAACAGTGGATATACCAAGAGCACCTATTATAAAACTGTAGTTTACTCCACTGTGTGTTGTAGTTAAATACAAGCTTTTATTTAAAATTGGGGCTCCAAATTTGGTTCTCATTAAACAGTGTTCCTGGAATTGTGTTTTCAGAATGTTAAATATAAATGTTATCATTATAAGGAGAGAATAAGGTAAAAATGCTTTCATGTTTTATGTTGTGCTTGGGACTATTTTTAAGCCTTGTTTAGTCATCTACATTAACAAACCAGTTGTGGTCTGTGGATACTACTCTGAAGATGAGCTCATCTTGTTAGTTTAAAACCTTTCATTTCAGTGATCTTTGCATAAAACTGATTTTAGTGTTTATTGTCAGTATTGAACCTTTTTACTAGCTAAATATAACATTATTATTGGGATACTTAGAAATTTAATTATTTTTTTATTTAAAAAGATGTGAAAATACTTTTGAGTAAATCATCCCCCTTTTCCCACCTTGTGCATGATTTTAAAACACCATCTCAATTACAGAAGCCCCCACTGCCTGAAACTCGTTAACAGTCACTTGGTGACCGTGCAAGTGGCTTTTACAGTTTTCCTGCTGCTTATTGGCACAGCAGTCAGTGTACTTCTTGGTGTCTCAGTGTGGTTACTCTTGGCAGGTTGTGGGCAATCAAATTTGATTGTTAGCCTTACATTTCATGCTTCGCTGGCATCTTTAGTTATTTGAGCCAAAGAGGCAGTGATAACTTCTTACAGATGATGTAGCTTTTAACTCTTTCACAATTCTGACCTTAAATTCAAAACTAGTCAAGCCAGGCATGACTTAGTATCTATTGACTTTTTTTTTCCTCTTGCTGTTGTTTCCTTTTCCCAAGGGCGATGTGTTCATGTCAGCTCCTCGGCTGATTCTAATCTGTATGCCCTACTTCTTGCCTGTTTTTCTTTTAAGGGGCTTTGCCTTAAAACTATCACTATAAAAAATGCCATAAAGAAACCTCTTGTTTACAACAACACTTTTTAAAAACTTTCTATTGGCTTTTTGAATTTCACATCATGTACCCCAGTTCTACTCATCACCCTCTTCCTTCATACTCTCCCTCTACCCTTGTAATCTCTCCCCAACAACAGAGAAAAAGCATCTTGTTTAGAAGCTGTAGAGTGTCACATTGTCCTCCACAGAACTCTTCATACTTCTTTGCTTGCAAATGCCCATTGCAATGTGTTGTTGGTCTGGCATAAGGCCCTTGGCTCCTGCTTAAAATTTCAAATTTTCATGGAAGTAGCACAATGTCTAGGGTATACTTCAGTTGCTAGGGTATGTGTCAGTTGCTTTTCTGCCTCTGTGATAAAACATCATATCCAAAAACAAATAATAGAAGAGAGTTTATTTTGGCTTATAGATCCATTCCGCTAGAGGAGGCATGGTGATATCCTCAACCTGCAAGCACAAACCAAAGAGCATGAAGGGAAGCGGGGCAGGGCTGAGAACTCTTGGAAGCTGGTCCCAGCAATGTACTTCCTGCTGCAAGGGTGCCCCTCTTCAGACAGAGCCTCCCATAGGGGACCAGGTGTTTAACAGCCTGAGACGATGGGAAAAATCTCACATTCAACTTGTCACACGCCTTGTTAGTATATTAGAAAAAGTATCTGTTGCAGAGGAATGCCTTGGGTAATTTTTTTATACAAGCATATGAGATGAACTTGAAAATACGTGCTGCTGGAGAAGAGGTGCTAGCCCAGTTCACTGGTATTTTGGTGAATGTTGTCATAAGTACTGTAAATTTGTGTGACATATGCATAATTATCATAAAACTATCAACAGTGCATTTAAATTTTCACACTGGTTTGTAAATACTTAGTTCTAGCTGTTCTTTATTACTTTGGCCAAGTTTGGTGATGATAGGTAAGTTTGTTCAATTTTTTTGCATTTTAATTATTAGAGACGGAAATTGTTATGTTTTGGTTTATTTATTGGTTTCTTTGTTTTTAACAATATAGTGTAGGCGGGCCTTAAACTGGCTATATAACTGAAGGGAACCTTCAACTTATTACCTTTTGTCTGGGATGACCAGCATTCATTGTCCTGACTTAAAATAAAGACACATATACAATAAGAAAAAAAATGTAGGCCAATTTCTGGTAAACATAAATATAAAAATTCTCAACAAAATAGTTGCAAACTGAATTCAAGAGCACATCAGCAAGAGTATCCTCCATGATCAAGCTATCTTCATACAACTGGATGCAGGGATGCTTCAACAAATGTATATCAATAAGTATAGTGTACTTCTCATGCTTAGGTCTGTATTGCTATCATAAAGACCATGACCAAAAACAACTTGTAGAAGGAATAGTTTATTTCAGATTAGAGTTTATAGAGTACCATGGAAAGAAGTCAAGGCAGGAGCCTCAAGGCAGGGACTGACGCAGAGGCTGTAAAAGAATGATGCTCATTGGTTTGTTCCTGTGGCTTTGTTCAACCTTTTTTTCTGTATAACCCAGGGCAACCACCCCAGGGGTAGCACCTCTCAGAGTGGGCTGGGCACTCTCACATTACATGTTATTCATGAAAAAGCCCCACGAACTTGCCTATTAGATCAAATCTGACGGAGACATTTTGTCAGTTCTTCCTAAATAACTCTCCCCTGTGCCAAGTTGACAGAAACCAATCAGGATAACACCACATAAAACAGAGTCAAGAGCAGAAATACCACAACTATGACTGAAGTTTTATGATTGTTAACACAGAATTGCTTAACTTACATTCTCTCTTTTCATTCTTACAATTACCTTTAGAGTTTAGCATTAACATTATGGGTATTACCATTATTGTTGTTATTACTATTATTATTATTGTGCTATTTTCTTATTGTGTCCTGCTCTTTGAGAAACTATATTCCACACTGTCCTCAAACTCACCATGTAACTAAGGATGACCTTGAACTACCTCTCCCAAATATTGGAGTTATAGGTGTTACCCCTTGCCCAGTTCTGATCGTATTATTATTATACTTAAAAATCACAAGTTGAAGAAATGGCAATAGGGAGATTTTATTAATCTAGTAGAGGTAATAGTGCTGGAAAGTGCCAGATTCTGAGACAGATGTGGATCTAAATGCCTGGGTACAGAACCTGCCTCTCTAATCACTATAATGTGCAGTTTAAGAATACATGGTCTCCTGTGCCTCATACCCTGACTGCATGGCAGGACAAGTGATCCTCTGCCACTGTCTGGAGGCCTCATCTTGCCACTTGGCCTTCTCTGAAAGTTGGAAACACTTGCCCTCTCTTCTTGTCTTAGCTTTTATTATTGTTTTTTTTCCCTTCTCTCTCCTACCCTAATGCCTCTGATCTGATGGACAACTTGACAAAATGTAACAAATGTGTCACAGAAGTACAGAACTGAAATTGAGTGAATTAGGACACAACTCAGTGGCTTTTCATGTCTCTCTATAAAACTAGCTGAGTCCCTACCACATACCAGGCTCAAGTGTTAGATTAAAACATCACTGGAATCAAGATCTTCTCGTGTATTAATTTTACTTCCAAACTGAAATTCTCCAGTGACACATAGTAAAGCAGAGCATTCTTCCTAAGGAATTCTTGATGGTGTTTCCCCTCACATTCTCTGCTTTTTAAAGCCAGGTGTTTATTTGGCATGGAGTGGTAGTGATACCGGCACCAAGCCCAGAGTTCAAGTGTGTTAGGCAAGTGCTCTGCCACTAGGATGTGCGCTGCTCTAGAGCTGTTTTAACCTGGTTATACGCGCCCTACCCCTCTTCAGACTCTAGCTTTGGAAAGTGTGCCCCAGATGGAGAAAGAAGTTGCCACATGCTGTTTCACAGTGGGGTGACTGCGGGTGAAGACAACGTTGTTATGTATTTCCACAAGATAGAAGATTATAGAAGAAAATATTGAATATTTTCATTGCAGAAAAATGATGAATGTTTCAGGAGATAGATGTGCTGACCTTGGTTTGAATATTATAATATATGTGATCTATTCCTATACCATACATGTATAACTGAAACGTTTTTAAAAATATTGATCTTTATTTTCATGTGCGTAACTGTTTTTCCTGCCTATATAAACAATGGGTTTCAACCTGTGGGTTGTGACCCCTTTTGAGAGTCACATAACAGATAAACTGCATAACCAGTATTTACCTTACAATTCATAACAGTAGCAAAATTACAGTTATGAAGTATTAACAAACATTTTATGGTTGAGGGTTACCACAACACAAGGAGTATATTAAAGAGTCACAGCATTAGGAACGTTGAGAACCACTGACGTTTACTGAGGTACCCAGAGAGATCAGAAGGTGGCATCAGACCTAATGGAAAGGGAGTTACAAATGATTAGGAGCTGCCATGTCCTCTGCAAGAGCAGTAAATGCTCCCAACCACTGAGCCATCACTCAAAACCATATCTATAAATTTAATGGATCAGTATTAAATTTTCAAAAAAAGTAAACTTTTTGAAAAGTGGGGACCCACAAAGATAACCATGACAGATTTTAGTAAGTGTTGAAGCAGCAATGTGAGGTGAACTATGTCCTGAAGTGCTTTGCTCAGTTTCTTTGCCTTTTACTTCAGATTGGGTGCAGAGGTAACACAGGGCCTTACTCCATAGCCCAGATGTCCCTGGGAGTCATGATCTCCCTGCCTCAGTTCATAGATGTGCACCACCATGTCTGACAGCTATGTGTTTTTCAGCCAGAACGCCCGGATTAGCTCACCTTGACTCCATAGCTTCAACTTCCCTGACCTCTTGCTTTGGTGTCCCAGTCAGGAACCAGCATCACCGTGGATATTGCCGTGATGGGCGAGGCCCACGGCCTCATCACCGACCTCCTCGCAGACCCTTCTCTGCCCCCAAATGTGTGCACATCCTTGCGGGCCGTGAGCAACCTGCTCAGTACCCAGCTCACCTTCCAGGCCATCCACAAGCCTAGAGTGAACCCCACGGTGACCTTCAGTGAGAACTATACCTGCTCCGATTCTGAGGAGGGCTTGGAGAAAGACAAGCTGGCCATTTCCAAGGTAGGTGTGGCATGAAGGCTGTGGTCTTAGCTAATCTTTCCACTGTCTCTACCTCCTCCTGCTTCTGTGTAGTCTGGGACAGAACCTTCCTATGTAGCCTTGGAATCCTAGTACTTGCTATGTTCCCAGATTGCCTCTTACATTCACCTGAAATTTCCCAGGGAACACCAGACATGGCATACTGTTTCCCTTTTCACTTCAACTCTCGTGGTTCTCTTTCAGTGTTCCAGGAGGGTAATAGGTGTAATTGAGCCAGTACTGTTTCACCAACTGCTTCCATTTACCTTGCTTCCTTCCATTATTTTACATCAAAGTTGATTGTCTAAAATATGGTTGGTGATAAAGTGAATATTCCTTCCAGCGCCTTAGAAGAAGTTTGCCACCAGGCTTGCTGAGAAGAGTCTCATCAACTTGGACAACCACCACCTCTGCCACAGGTCTGCCCACCTTGGAGCCTGCACCAGTGCGGAGGGACCGCAGTGCCAGCATTAAGCCGCATGAAGCACCTTCATCCAGGTTAGACTCCACTCCTGCTGGCTCCGTGTCCCCTCAGAGGAGTTTTTTGCTGGAAAGGAGTCATAGAGTGTAAGAGGAGAGAGGCCCAACCAGAGTTACTGAGAAGTGTGCTTAGAACTTACCAAATTGGCTGCTTAACTGAAGAGTACCTTAGAGCCAGATTGGCAAGACCTTAAATGTAAACACTGAGAGTGAGTTGGGATGACCCTTGCTTCTATGGCCTAGGAATGGTATAGCTGAATCTTGAGGTAGCACTATTCCTAATTGTCTGAGAAAGCTCCAGATTGATTTCCAAAGTGATTGTACAAGTTCACATTCCTACCAGCACTGTAGTAGGGTTCCTCTTTCTCCACAACCTCTCCAGCATGTGTTGTCACTTGAATTTTTTATCTTAGCCATTCTGATGGGTATAAGGTGAAATCTCGGGATCATTTTGATTTGCATTTCCCTGATGCTTAAGGATGTTGAGCATTTCTTTAAGTGTTTCTCTGCCATTCGATGTTACTCTATTGAGAATTCTCTGTTTAGCTCTGTACCCCATTTTTTAATTGGAATACTTGATTTGTTGCAGTTTAACTTCTTAAGTTCTTTATATATTCTGATATTAGCCCTCTGTCAGATATAGGATTAGTGAAGATCCTTTCCCAATCTGCTGGCTGTCATTTTGTTCTGATGACAGTGTTCTTTGCTTTACAGAAGCTTTTCAGTTTCATGAGGTTCCATTTATTGATTGTTGATCTTAGAGCCTGTGCTGTTGGTGTTCTGTTCAGGAAGTTGTCATCTGTGCCAATTAGTTCAAGGCTCTTCCCCACTTTTTCTTCTAACAGGTTTAGTGTGTCCATTTTTGTATTGAGGTCTTTGATTAAAAACAAAGAAATCATGAAATTTGCAGGCAAACGGTGGGATCTAGAAATTATTATCCTGAGTGAGGTATCCCAGAAACAGAAAGACACACATGGTATATACTCACTTATAGGTGGATATTAGACGTATAACATAGGATAATATAGGATACTAAAACCTATACACCTAAGGAAGCTAATCAAGGAGGACCCTGGTAAGAAGCCCAATCTTCATTCGGAAAGGCAAGTGAAATGGACATCAGAAGAGGGAAAAAACAGGGAACAGGATAGAAACCTATCACAGAGGCCTCTGAAAGACTCTACCCAGCAGGGTATTAAAGCAGATGCTGAGACTCATAGCCAAACTTTGGGAAGATGGCAGGGAAAGAAGGGGGAGATAGAAAGACCTGGAGGGAACAGGAGCTCCACAACGAAAGCAACAGAACCAAAATATCTGGGCACAGCGGTCTTTTCTGAGACTGATATTCCAAACATAGACCATGCGTGGAGATAACTTAGAACCCTGCACAGAAGTAGCCCATGGCAGCTCAGTGTCCAAGAGGATTCCCCAATAATTGAAACAGGGACTGTCTCTGATATGGACTCAGTAGCTGGCTCTTTGATCATCTCCCCCTGATGGGGGAACAACAACCTTACCAGTCCACAGAGGAAGACAGTATTGGCTCTGTCTTCTCTGGTTCCACCTGTGGTCTCTCAGATTTTGGTTTGGGGCTTCAGCGTTATAGTCATCAAGACAGAGGAGCCAAATCACCTTGTAGCTGCCAGGACAGAGAGAAGGAAGAGGGGCAGGAGAGAAGGGGAAGGCAGGGCTAACGTCCTAATATGCTCTGCAAAGGAACAACCACACTGATCTAATTACTGGGAGGCAGGCCCTCCCTTTCAAGGTTCAGTCTCCAAAGCTGCAGAACAAGCCTTTAACACACAGCCCTTGGGGGAAAGTCAAGATCCAAATCATATTAGTGGCTGAAAGACCAGAATTTAAAAGGCTAAAGAAAAGGTAACATTAAGATCTAAAATGAATTTGTAAGAAAACACTACTAAAAGATGTGCTTTCAAAGGAGGCTACTTTGTCTCTTCATTATTACGTAGAAGAAAATTAGAATACTTTATATGAAATCAATAATTATAATAATTTTTACCTTATAATTTCAGAATTATGAAATATCTATATCAGCTTCATTATTGAGCTAAAGATACACATTGAAAATATTCATACCTTTATGTAACTACTTAATAACAACGTCTGAAATAATTTCCTATTCATGACGGCAAGGTGGTGAGAGTAGGAAGAGAGGCTTTCCAAATCCTGAGACTTGAGTGAGGACAGACTCTTGCATTTGCTTTCATTTAGTAAAGTTTTACTTTCTTCATGTACACTACTGTGACTGGACCTGTCTGCATCTTCACCAGCAGCTGGAACACCTTCACCCTCAGCATTCCGTGTATAAATTACATGAGACTTGTGCTTTGAAACCCAGTAAGCCCTCTACCAAGGGGTTCCTGAAGGACTACCCTGCCCAGGGACTGTGTAGTCACTCTTTCAGACCACAGCTGAGAGGATCAGCTTATCACTGGGAACAGTGTGCAGACTTCACCATGTAATGGCTTTGTTAAACAGACTGTCTGGTTGAGTTTCTCTCTCTCTCTCTCTCTCTCTCTCTCTCTCTCTCTCTCTTTTGAGGGCTACTCCTTTTCCTTGGCCCTGCCCCAGACATATTTATTGTTCCTTTGTCTTTCTTGAATGGCTTTTGTGGCACCTCTCTACTTATTGTCCTGCTGTAGCCCTGATGAAGCTCAGAGCACAGATAACTCCTGGCATCTTCACTAAGATGTGGGACCAAAGGAAAATCTGCTCTCCGCCATCTCCAAACCCTGTTTCTTTCATTTCGACTGTAAATTATTTTATATTACTATTTGTGTTCTACTCAAGACCATGAGGTGTATATTTCACAGGCCACAGTTTTCATAAACTATAGATCATGGTCCTCCCCTATGGTATAGTTTT